GGATGGATCAATTATTCATATAGATTGATGGATAGACAGATGAGTAAATAGATGAATAAAGAGTTACATTGACAGATAGTTAGATACTGAGCTGTATATACCCTCCAGGACCCTCCACTCCACAGGTCCAAGAGAGTAGTGGAGGCTTGGTCAGACTCCTCCAGGATATTCGACAACTCTTCACCACAACTTCCTGCTGTAAGTTATTGCTTTCCATAAGAAACTTTTGAGATATATTTACGAACCATTTTTTTTGGGGGGGGGCGGGGGAGGGGGGGCGGGGGGGGGGGGGCGGGGGAGGGGGGCGGGGGGGAGTGTGGGGAGGGGAAACTGTAATTAAGACCTTTATTTTTTGCTCCTTTTGTTGTTTTCATATATATATTTTTCACATATTTTTTTTATTATTATTTATATTAATTATTAATATATATTTGTAATAGGATTGTTAGTAAAGTATTAAACACTTTATTTCTCAACTCTATAGTCGTAATGGCTTGGCACTTTCCCCCCCTAAGGATTCCCTTCTCTTTATTTCTCAAATAACTTGTTAGATCATTTGTCAAAATATCATTTTCACTGCTACTTATTGTGTTCGTAATATGCTAATTTTCCATGTTACTGAAATTATTCAAGGTAATTTTACTTAATTATTCATGTTATCGTTCAGATTTTGACAATATTAATTAATATACCATTATCGTTATTATATAACTTTTTACATTATTAACCTGACTATTACGTAATAGTCAGGTTATTAGAGTGATTTCGAAGACAGCAAGCTACACCTGCACTCCTGTACAGATATCTGAGATATCTGATACTACCTACCTGTACTACCTACCTGTACTACCTACCTGTACTACCTACCTGTACAGATAACTGTACAGATACCTGTACAGATACCTGTACCTGTTGCTATGTTCGTATTGAGTACCACTGTGTCTCTGCCACACATTAACAAGATTATGAATTGTTGAAGTGACATTGTGGTGTGGTCGAGAGCCTCCTTCCTCTCGGTGCTCTACAATGTTGCACATTTCAGGGTGGTAAACTCGTCGTAATTGCTTTATTCGTACATAAGGAACATATGTTTGGTGACCACATATTGCATCTCTTGTGTGGCATATGAGGAGTGTAAAGTTATGTTTTGGGTCGTTTCTTGTGTGATGTTTGTGTAATACAGACAGACTAGCCACATGTTCTCTGTGTGGGAATGATTGCATGTACGGTAAGGGGTCGACTGTATTAACTTGGGTTCTCACTAGTATGCAGCCCTGGCTTGAACTTTGTCTAATAATTTTAGTCTGTGGATAGGAGTTTCAAGTTAGTAGTGAGAACTCCATTATAGATCGGATTTGGGAGATGTAGAGTGTTAGGCATCTCTCAGCATCCAGGGGGGCCAGATTCACGAAGTAGTTACGCAAGCACTTACGAACCTGTGGCCAGACTCACGAAGCAGTTACGCAAGCACTTACGAACCTGTGGCCAGACTCACGAAGCAGTTACGCAAGCACTTACGAACCTGTTCATCTTTTCTCAATCTTTGGCGGCTTTGTTTACAATTATTAAACAGTTAATGAGCTCCGAAGCACCAGGAGGCTGTTTATAACAATAACAACAGTTGATTGGCAAGTTTTCATGCTTGTAAACTGTTTAATAAATGTAACCAAAGCCGTCAAAGATTGAGGAAAGATGTACACGTTCGTAAGTACTTGCGTAACTGCTTCATGAATCTGGGCCCTGGTGAGTAGAATATTCCAACCCATCCTCCTGTTTAGATAGTAATTTTTGTAACTATTTCCACCATAGTACAAATATTAACGTACTAAGCAATTATATAGTAGAAATTTGTTCTTTTCACTTTATAGTCTGAAAAAATTAAGCAAAAAAAAGTTATATATTCCTAGGCCTAGTATAGCACATATATGAACTATATTAGGCCTCAGATACCATGTATTAGGCTTAGGAAGGTTAGGTTAGATTAGTTTAGTTAGTCTTTGCAACATAGAAAATCATTTTCCGGTTTATCCTAATTCAATAGTACCGATTTCTACTTTCTAATTGCGCTGTACGTCGATATATGTACTATGGTCCTCCTTGTTACTATAAGTACTACCAAAACAGGAGAACGACTTGTCGTTCCTCCACCTGATACTGGCTTAGCGCTTTCTCCTACTAACTACCTTGCTGTTCACCAGATAGCGGCGTCATGCCTATACACTGTGATCACTCATCCCCCCATCGCGGCTTCCAATATGGTTTCCCGTATGTCAGAATCATTGATTACGAACATCAAGTTACGTTTAGCTGGTTCGTCAATACCTCTCCAAGTTTCTCCTTGTTACTTGAACTTCTAGTTAAAATTTTCCCTATTAATACTTCTCAATAGCTCGGTGGATAGAGCTTCAGCCTAACACACGTGGGGTTCGCAGTTCGAGTCTCCTAGAGCCCCGGTGAATGTAATTACTTGCAGCAGTGTGCGCTCTAGTGTCGTTCCGTGTTCTCCCAGTCTGTTTTTTCATGACTGAAATCACCTATAATTAGGACTTGAGATATTTTTCTGCACCCGACAGTCTGTTGCTTTTATATTATAGTAGGTTTTTTCATTATTTTTTTTTCTACCACAGACGTGGCCAGACATTTACAATGCTAACCAGCATATATACATTTATATGCTCCCAGTCTGTTTTTTCATGATTGAAATCACCTATAATTAGGACTTGAGATATTTTTCTGCACCCGACAGTCTGTTGCTTTTATATTATAGTAGGTTTTTTTCATTATTTTTTTTCTACCACAGACGTGGCCAGACATTTACAATGCTAACCAGCATATATACATTTTCTTCTGTCCTACATGGACAGGGTTAGAGATGTGTTAAAGATATAGTTCAAGGGTTTATTGAACAGTTATAGTAGTGACTGGTGCGTTGTTCCTGTCATTCTCCTGTCTGGGTCTTGTGTACTTTAGACTGGTGCGTTGTTCCTGTCATTCTCCTGTCTGGGTCTTGTGTACTTTAGTCTGGTTTTTGTTTTTTTACATCTTTTACATTTTGTAATTTTTTTTTATTTTTTTACATTTTTACATTTAATCATTTTATCACATTTTGCATTTTTTGCATTTTTTTTTAATTTTTGCATTTTTATATTTAATCATTTTTTTACATTTTACATTTTTTACATTTTTTTAAATTTTTACATTTTACATTTTTACATTTTTTACATTTTTACATTTTATATTTTTACACTTTTACATTTTACTTTTTTACATTTACATCTTTTACATTTTTACATTTACATCTTTTACATTTTTTACATTTTTACATTTTATATTTTTACACTTTTACATTTTACTTTTTTACATTTACATCTTTTACATTTTTACATTTACATCTTTTTACATTTTTGCATCTTTCACATTTTTACATTTTACTTTTTACATTTTTACATATTTTACATTTTCACATCGTTCTTACATCATTGGTCCTTCCGTTATCACCTGTACGTGTAAATGTATTATCTGAAACCTTCACAGAACAGGATAACCTCACAGCTAAATTCCTTTCCTATCAGCAGGGCTGATAGGAAAATCAGCAGGGCTGATAGGAAAATCAGCAGGGCTGATAGGAAAATCAGCAGGGCTGATAGGAAAATCAGCAGGGCTGATAGGAAAATCAGCAGGGTTGATTTTCAGCAGGGCTTTCCTATCAGCAGGGCTGGTATTCCTTCTCTCCTCGTCTCCCCTCTAATTCCCTACAACATTGCCCATTCTGGGGAATCACGCCATTCGCTAAGACTCCCGTTAATTTTTCTCCCCTCATCTACCCTCCTATCATCTAGGGGCCTCGTAGCCTGGTGGATAGCGCGCAGGACTCGTAATTCTGTGGCGCGGGTTCGATTCCCGCACGAGGCAGAAACAAATGGGCAAAGTTTCTTTCACCCTGAATGCCCCTGTTACCTAGCAGTAAATAGGTACCTGGGAGTTAGTCGGCTGTCACGGGCTGCTTCCTGGGGGTGGAGGCCTGGTCGAGGACCGGGCCGCGGGGACACTAAAGCCCCCGAAATCATCTCAAGATAACCCACCAAGTTGCTTGCCATATATGTGAGCCCGCGTGTGTTTGAGCTCGTTACTCTAGCGCTCACTTGAGCCTTGCGCTCTCTCTCCCTTGCCGTCAATTCCAGTGATGTAAGAGGTTGGTGAAGAATACAATGGGGTCTGGGAAGAGTGTGGTGGTGGTGGGGGAGGGCTTAGAGGTTCCTTGGGGTAGGGTCTTAGGTGTAGGTAAGACTTGGAGGAGCGAGAGGTAGGGAGTGGGGGAGAGGAAAGAGGGGGGTGGGTTTCTTGCTTAGTCTTACATGGTGGGAGCTGGGAGAACATGGAATAGGTGTCAGGGAGGGAATGGAATAGGGGGGCAGGGAAGGAATAGGATGTGGAAGATCTTAGAGGGATGGGATACAAGGGAAGTTTAGGAGAGAGAGAGGCTAGCGAGAGATGTTGAGAGAAAAAGAGGTAGAAATTATAGAGGAAGGGAAGGAGAGAAAGATAGGGGAAATAGGAGAAAGAGAGAAGGGAATAAGGGAGAGAGAGAGAGAGAGAGAGAGAGAGAGAGAGAGAGAGAGAGAGAGAGAGAGAGAGAGAGAGAGAGAGGGAGAGGAGATGAGAGAGAGAGAGAGAGAGAGAGAGACGAGAGAGAGAGAGAGAGAGAGAGAGAGAGAGAGAGAGAGAGAGAGAGAGAGAGAGAGAGAGAGAGAGAGAGAGAGAGAGAGAGAGAAGGATGGATAATTTATGGAATACGATATGGCTTCAGAGAGAAATGGACGGTGTTCGAAGAAAATATTTCTGCCCCATACCTCATTACCCCTTATTGATTCATGGGACATTGTTCACCAGTACAGTTCCTGGTCGTACCAGGAGGTTTAGGTCACTAGTACAGTTCCTGGTCGTACCAGGAGGTTAAGGTCACTAGTACAGCTCCTGGTCGTACCAGGAGGTTAAGGTCACTAGTACAGCTCCTGGTCGTACCAGGAGGTTAAGGTCACTAGTACAGCTCCTGGTCGTACCAGGAGGTTAAGGTCACTAGTACAGTTCCTGGTCGTACCAGGAGGGCTAATTAACCACCTGGGATAATAAAAATAATAGAACTCATATTGCACTCCAAATCTAAAGACAGTCAGAAGGACGACAGAGCCAGCAGAGGATTGTGTAGAGTCCGTGAGGTCGTCCCTGGACAGTGTAGAGTCCGTGAGGTCGTATCTGGACTGTGTAGAGTCCGTGAGGTCGTATCTGGACTGTGTAGAGTCGGAGAGGTCGTCTCTGAACAGTGTAGAGTCCGTGAGGTCGTCCCTGGACAGTGTAGAGTCCGTGAGGTCGTCCCTGGACAGTGTAGAGTCCGTGAGGTTGTCTCTGGACAGTGTAGAGTCCGTGAGGTCGTCTCTGGACAGTGTAGAGTCCGTGAGGTCGTCTCTGGACAGTGTAGAGTCCGTGAGGTTGTCTCTGGACAGTGTAGAGTCCGTGAGGTTGTCTCTGGACAGTGTAGAGTCCGTGAGGTCGTCTCTGGACAGTGTAGAGTCCGTGAGGTTGTCTCTGGACAGTGTAGAGTCCGTGAGGTCGTCTCTGGACAGTGTAGAGTCCGTGAGGTCGTCTCTGAACAGTGCAAAGTCCGTGAGGTTGTCTCAGAACAGTGGAGAGTCCGTTAGGTCGTCCTGGACAGTGTAGAGTCCGTGAGGTCGTCTCTGAACAGTGTAGAGTCCGTGAGGTCGTCCCTGGACAGTATAGAGTCCGTGAGGTCGTCTCTGGAGAGTGTAGAGTCCGTGAGGTCGTCTCAGAACAGTGTAGAGTCCGTGAGGTCGTCCCTGGACAGTGTAGAGTTCGTGAGGTCGTCTCTGGAGAGTGTAGAGTCCGTGAGGTCGTCTCAGAACAGTGTTGAGTTCGTGAGGTCGTCTCTGAACAGTGTAGAGTCCGTGGGGTCGTCCCTGGACAGTGTAGAGTCCGTGAGGTCGTCTCTGGACAGTATAGAGTCCGTGAGGTCGTCTCTGAACAGTGTAGAGTCCGTGAGGTCGTCTCTGAACAGTGTAGAGTCCGTGAGGTCGTCTCTGAACAGTGTAGAGTCCGTGAGGTCGTCTCTGAACAGTGTAGAGTTCGTGAGGTCGTCTCTGAACAGTGTAGAGTCCGTGAGGTCGTCTCTGAACAGTGTAGAGTCCGTGAGGTCGTCTCTGGACAGTATAGAGTCCGTGAGGTCGTCTCTGAACAGTGTAGAGTCCGTGAGGTCGTCTCTGAACAGTGTAGAGTCCGTGAGGTCGTCTCTGGACAGTATAGAGTCCGTGAGGTCGTCTCTGAACAGTGTAGAGTCCGTGAGGTCGTCTCTGGACAGTGTAGAGTCCGTGAGGTCGTCTCTGAACAGTGTTGAGTTCGTGAGGTCGTCTCTGAACAGTGTAGAGTCCGTGGGGTCGTCTCTGGACAGTGTAGAGTCCGTGAGGTCGTCTCTGGACAGTGTTGAGTTCGTGAGGTCGTCTCTGAACAGTGTAGAGTCCGTGGGGTCGTCTCTGGAGAGTCCGTGGGGTGTCTTGGGACAGTGTAGAGTCCGTGAGTGTAGAGTCCGATCTCTGGACAGTTTAGAGTCCGTGAGGTCGTCTCTGAACAGTGTTGAGTTCGTGAGGTCGTCTCTGAACAGTGTAGA